GTAAAATAGGTAATAGCGTCATTTCGTCACACATGTCCAATACGCTCGACCGGATTCCAGTGGACAAAACCTGGATTCCGACGGAGTCTAGTCGAAAAATGAAACTGGAAGTTCAGTAGAGTCCACTTGAGTTACCGGAAGTTTAGTCATGAGATGAAACCGGAAGTGTAAACAATACTTAGAGGAGGGTTGGAAAGTCGTCCGATGGAGTCCATCGGATCCATTGGAAACACATCGATTCCGATGGAATCTCAGGAAGTCTAGTCGTGCCATGAGTCAAAACAAGCACACTGCACGTGTAACATAAGTCGAGAATGGCAAGCCTAACAGGCAACAGAAGTCGTTCTTAAAGCCATGAGTCGAAACAAGCACGGACGTCGGTACACATAAGTCGCTCTTAAAGCGATGAGTCAAAACAAGCACGCTTCCCAAAAAATATAACTCGCTCTTAAAGCCATGAACCGAAACGAGCACGCTACGCGAATGGCATAACGCGTTTTTAAGGCCACGAGTCGAAACAGGCACGGTGCCCACGTAACATAACTCGTTCTTTAAACCCTAAGTCCCCCGGGCCCTTTATTCGAGACGGACTGGCACGCTTAAAGCCACGAGTCAAAACAAGCACTGTAAAGCTATGAAACCGGGCAAAAGCCCTACGAAACGAGGAAAGTACACAAGTATATGCTTCGTTCTTTAATGGTAACTATAATATGAGCTACACTTGAGTAGAATTATTAAAAGAAACATACTGGTAGGCGGTAGGCATAACATTGAAACTGACATTACATGGATACAAAATGTATGAAGTTATTGAACAGCTGAAGTTTTAAACCTGAGCAATATTGAATTATTATTTGTTTTGTAAAATACTAAGTAAAAAACATTAAGTGATAAAAAGCTATATAAAACATTACATAAATCAGTGCTGGTCACTTCACACATCATCCAGCTGTAGACAGAAATTGAAGCTGGATGATTCTAGATCTCTTCCATAAGGGCCCAGTTCAGAAAAATGAAAGAAATATGCTTCTTATCATATTTTTATAAACGCCAATGAAATATTGGGTGAGTTTGTGTTCGAAAACATGATATCTTCACATGTCAAAATAACAAGTAAGTTATCTTTGCATGTAGACTACAAGTAGTCCCCCATTTTTCCTCAGGGATAGTAGAGCGAGCGAAACATGAGCGGGCGTGAAAATCACCCCATGCGCGCCTTTTCTCGCGTGGGGTGATTTTTACGCGCGCTCGCGTTTCGCTCGCTCTACTATCCCTGAGGAAAAAAATGGGGGACTACTCGTAGTCTACTTTGCATGTGAAAAGATCACCATTGCTATGGTACAATATAACAACTCACACCTTTTACAGAAAAAAAAATTACTCATTTAATAAGTGAAATGGTTAAGTATTTCAGTGGTATAAAATAAATGGAATATATTGCATGGCCGCTCGGAGATATGAAATTTCTCTTCTCATGATGAAACAATATTTCACTGCTTCCAGCAAGGCTTACCCTTCCTTCTCTGTTGGATTGCTGTTAATCATACCTTTGTTGAGAAAAGCATGGACAAAATTCTTATAACAAGTTAGAGTTAATTTGTGTTTTTCATGTAAAATCATGCATGCCCAACCCTATTCTGCACCCCACAGGAAATATGTTGGATATATGCACGCAGTTTCAATATGTAAAGGGTGTTGGGAAACAGTGATAGACTTAGTACAGGGTATTTTTCAAAAGGGTAGCACCTGGCTATGAGCCAGGGCACTTTGTTCCAAAGACTTTCAATGCAGGATTGTAGCTTTTATGCTGAATATTAGACAGTGGTATTACATCTTAAGAAGAGACAGTAAATTCCTTTTAGCTTCCGTTTTGCTTTCCCCCAGTGTGAATGAAGAGGTGTTCTCACAACAATTTACCCATCATAACCTTAAAATTTATATAGGTCTTGTGTCCAAAAATTATTGATGTGACTTATACACAATTTTAAAGAAAGCATTCTTTGGAGCACTATCACATGGCCAGGCTTGATTTCCATGCTTTAAATGTTGTCACACATGACCTACATTGGGGAAACATATAGCATCTGCGGTAACAACCACAAGCTAGTAAAGGTCTTTACTATTACTTCTCCTCTCATAATTGTACTTAACAAAAAATTTTCTTTGGCATTGTATCATGCACTGTATTTTATTAGCTTTATAGCCACTGCACTGCTTTCATCCCATTCTCAATGCCCTTGTCAAAGACAACTTTGAAGAAGAGGAAGAGTGAGCACAAATATTTAGCACAGGGGGCAAGAAGAAAATACAAAAAACCATGTAACATTGATTTAAAAATTGCAAAAATAATTATGTTCCAATTAACCAATCACTTCCTGATATCCTACAATTTAAAAGCTTTCCCAATAACTAGCCAATGTAGTTTTAATCAAATAGATTTTTCTTTAATGAGTTTGTCGTTTGTATCGCCTTTAGTTAGCTTTTAAGAGGCGGTCCGTGTAAGAACCAACCACTCGAATTTCCGTGGGAAACAGAATTCCTTCATTTTTTTTCTGCGACAGAATTAGCCCATTCCATTAACAAATATCGAATTTGTTTGGCTCATAGTGCTTTTTTAAAAAAAAATTGGGCGGCGATTCGCCTGGACGGCCCAAAGCTGTCATAATCGTCTTTTTTAAGGTCAAATTTAAACGTTTTGTTCAAGGCTCGCAAAAATTTCGCATTTATCCAAATAGCATAAAACAAAAGTATGATTTTAATTCATGATTCCTTTATTCAAACAAGGTAAAATATTTAAATTCTGACCCCCCAAAAAAGGAATTATGATGTTTTGAAAATACCACGTAAAGCGTCCTTGAAAAAAATGCGCGGTTATCCTAGTTTTGAAATGAGCCTTTTTTAAAAGTCTGACGTTATCTGGAGTCTTGGTCACTATCCCTGTTCAGTGATAGGGCTAGTGTATCGAAATCAAGAAAAACATTTTTGGGCACTGTTGATTCCGAAGCACAAGAGTTCGATAAAGTTGGGTAACAATCTACTGTAATTGTGCGTATGACGTAATTTACGCATTTTCTTGATTCCGAACTTTCCTACTATAAAACTAAAAATCATTACTGTCAGGGAGCAACTATTTTCAAAACTAACTTAATGCTGGGGACAAACAGTGAATATCTTAAAATCCACTACAAATTGTCCTAAATTAAAATTGGGCCATGTTCCAAAAAACGTAGCAGCTCCGGTGAATGTTGCTATGTCAAGTTGTGGCTAAACAGTTAGGAAATTTCGTTGAAATAAAGGGGCTAGAACGGTAAAAAAATTTAAAACACATTGTGAATAGATTTACCGTGTAATTACCACCTCAAAAGTTATGACACGATCCAGCAAAGAAATAGTTTACCAAAATGTACCGAATTTTCTAGCCACAAGTTTTTGCGTGCAGACGACATCATTTATATTGTGTCTGAGGATGTCAATTTCAGATTTCAGTTTGCAGTGCAAAACATGTTGGATGTTATTTTATCGAAGCTGAAACTACTTATCAGGCTTAACGAAGTAAAATAAACAAGGTACAAAAAAACTGGCTACTTTTAAGAATAAAAATGTTATGCTGGTTTACTAAAAATTTCTTCAAGTTTTTAATTCAATTTAAGTTAATTTTTCTCGTTCACTTAATTTAATATCGTATGCAAATTTGCAACACAAAACGTAGAGCGTAATTACAGTGTGCCGAGATAACCTTCGCAGATAGAATGGCTACATTTTGTTCTTTTTCCGCATTAACAGGCGAAAAATGCGGAAGTAATCGAGGATGTGTCGATTTTGTGTGCTTGAATAGTTGCAACGCTGACATTAGTTCACACCAAATGAATCACCACCTGTCAAGGGAAAATGTTTGTGAAATGGATCTGATACTGGCAAGGGCAGGTCTGTTAGAACTCACTGATGATCAGATCAAGAATATGACGGTTTGTCCAGTCCATCGTTACACTTTGGGAAAATACTGGCAAGCTCCAAAGACCTGCCAGTATCCAAAACATCACGGGAAGAAAATGGCAATAGCCGGAACACATGTTATTAATTTCAAGACTGCAAGGGAAATAAAAAATATCTTCGGAGAAGCCGTTCCCGTTGGCTCGCGTAAGTACTATCAGACTAGCAACTATGACTGTTTTATGCTTTCATTTTATAATTAACATATCAGAATTAAAGGGTTTTGTCTTCCTTAACATTTCAATTAATACTTTCGTTCGTAATTACTTAAAAGCGAGCTGTAGACTGAGGGGAAGTCCCATTCTATATATTTTCTGAACGATAAACGATCTATCCCGTATTTGATAGTATTTTGCAGCCAGAAAATCATTTCCAAAAAAATAACATATCAAATGATCATAATTTGGTTTTTGTAGTTCATTACAGCAATAGTTCTTTGCTGTGCGTCATCCATAAATTCGGTCGCTGATTTATAGCCTATATAACATAATTTCCAAGATGGGATATAAAGATATAGCCTCTATTATCAACTTAGTAGTAAATTCAGTATTTTTTTAACAAGTCTTTCCAGGTTGGAAAACTTTTTTTGTTTCTTTTTGTTACTATAGCTATTTGCACAACGTGCAGAAAGAAACACAGTGAAGAAGTAGATCGGAAATCAGACTGGCTATACCCTGAGGAAACTGAGGGAGATGTGCTCCTTCAAAGGTACTGTCGGGAGGGTAGTCGTTTGGTTGTTGTTTTATAAAAAACACACACACGGTTGTCCTGTCAGGTTATCCTATCGCAAGGCAACTAAGTAGCAACCTTCCATTTTTATTCTCCGCAGACCTGCTAAAGAGGCTGCTGTGGGAGCCATCGGTCGCATGGTCACTTCAACTCCATTTCTTGAAGACCAATCAACGCCAGCTTCCTGAAATCCCATAACACCATGCTGGACTCCAGGGTCAGAGGAGGCCTCTTTAACTTCACCCGTGGTAACCGATGCAGTCGGCAGGTATAACGAGGCGATGGATACAATTGCGAGTCTTACTACACAAGAACAAGTAGAACGCGAGCCTCTTAAATATCAGCTTAAAACTCCATTCCAAAATTTAAGCGATGGGGAACAGCTGAAATTTGTAAAAAAGGCTAAAGAGGACTGCTTGCACGTATGTAATGTAATTGCCCCAGGTAACGGAGAGGAGCTCTTCGAGTCAATGATGTCTGTACAAAGAGAATTATTTGATGGCGCAGTCCCCGATGATCTTGTGGTACTCATGACTGCTTATAAGAACGCAAAGACCAGGAATTTAAGGAAACAGATTCTGAGCCTTTACGCTCAAAGATACCCTATGACCAAACTGAAGAAAATTCACCAACCTTACGGAAGTCTCTCTACATGGGAAATAAAGCAAGCACGTTCTCATGCTAAAATGCACGGTCCTGGGACCATCACTGAAAACAAGACGAAGCATCGCGTACGCCTTGATATGAGGAAGGTCGACCACTTTGTAGAATTCATTAATAGACCGTACTTTTATCAGGATGTTTCATATGGTAACAAGGTACTCACCGTAGATAATGGTGACAGAATTGAGATGCCTAACGTTGTAAGAATCCTGACAAGGTCTACAATGATTGAGCAATACTTGGAGTATTGCAAAGAGCAATGTCACGAGCCACTTAGTAGGTCTTCTCTGTTTAAAATATTGGAGGTTCGAGAAGCGTCTCAGCGTAAATCGCTCCAGGGATTGGACAATACGGCTGCAGATGGTGCTGCGGGCTTTCAGACTATTGAGACGCTGGTTGAAACTCTTGAGAAGGGAGGAATGGAGAAACAGTGGTGTTTACGTATTTGCCAAAACCTACACGATGCTAAACGCTATCTCAAAACTGACTACCGTGTACACTGTCAACAGCATTACTCTACTTGCGCTGACCACTGTAGAAAGTTTGCGCTTAGTGATCCTGTTGATCTCGAGCTCCAGCATCCTTGTCCGCATCAGCATCAATCGACTTGCGAGCAATGCCAAGGGCTGAAGGATGTTCTAAAGGAAGTGAGACTAGCGATTGAAGGGTCATCATGGAGGCCTTACAGTTGCGAACAACGAGAAGATGTCCTTTACGACTTTGACCGTGCACAGTCAGACATCTTGCTGTGGAAAGCGCACATTGTACGCTCAATAAATCAGGAGGAGGCGAAACAAGATGCACTGAAATCAGAAGACCCACAGTCAGCCATTCTGATCATGGACTGGGCCATAAAGTTCCTCCAAATAAAATTTCGTGAGAAACAGTCTGAATGGTTCGGCAAACGGGGGCTCAGCTGGCATATCTCCACCTTTATAACTAAGAATGTTGACTCTGGAAAAATTGAGCTGCAATCGTATGCTCATATCTTCGACTCTTGCCAGCAAGACTGGTACGCAGTATGCTCGATCATCGAAAACACACTTGAGGTTGTAAAGAAAGAACATCCCCAGATTACCCAAGTGAACCTAAGGAGTGACGAAGCAGGCTGTTACCACAACAACTTTCTCTTAGCCGCCGTTAGAGATGCCGGAAGACGAGTAGGCATTGAAGTAGCACGGTATGACTTTTCCGAGCCGCAGTATGGAAAAGATATCTGTGATAGAATCCTTTGTCCAATGAAATCATCCATCCGACGATATTGCAATGAAGGACACGATGTCGTTTCTGCGAAAGACATGCGTGTAGCGCTTTCAGAACGTCCTGTTCAAGGTACAACTCCCTCCGTGTGCGCAATGAATGAGACTCAAAAGCCCGGGGGCACTCCCATACATTACCTATACGGGTATGTGCCGCCCAACGGGGTCGTGATTTTGAAGCTCCTGATTTAGAACGGGGTATCCATTTCAGAGGCGTTTTCTAGAACGGGGTATAAAAAATTGTGGATCACGGCTTTATCTTCTGCTTAAAATTGTTGCTGATTATGAAGAAGCATTTATTTGATGTATAAGTCGAACAAGGAAAGAAATATCTCTTAAAAAACAGGGCTTTTTCAATTTACAAACTTTCTAGAACGGAGTATAAGCAACTGGCCCTTTTTTTAGAACGGGGTATCAGTTTTAGGGCGAATTCTAGAACGGGGTATAAAAAATTGGCTCATTTCTATAACGGGGTATCAATTTTAGGGGAAATTTTTTTTAGAACGGGGTGCCAATTTAGAGTCCCGGGCGGCACATACCCACCCAAAAAATATCCAAGTGCCCCCCCCGGGCTCAAAAGACACTCGAAGTACATAAGATAGAAGGTTTCAGCAAGTATCACAATTTCAAGTTTGAAGTGAAAGGAATTAGAGCATGGAGAGCTTATGGTGGTGGACTAGGCAAGTTTATTCCTTACCGAGAGGTCATAACTGAACCCCAAGGTCCTACTGGTCTCATTGTGCATGAAAACTTCTTTCCTCTCAAAGAAGCTCGAGTATATAAGAGAGAGACAAACAGTGAAAATGAACAATGCAACGGTCTTTTCTCTTGTTCTGAGCCCGGGTGCAACATGGTTTTCAAGAAATTCAGTGAACTCGAAAATCACCTTGATGTTGGTGAGCACAGCCAAGTTCGCGGAAACTCTCTGATACGGTGTATGACAAGCTCAGAAGAGACTGGGCGGAGAAATTTCGTACTGTTGATAAGGACGAAGAAATCAGAAGCGTGCCTGAAGCAGTTGTAGAGGAGCATCACGAAAAGAATAAAACCGGCCGCTCTCCCGAGTGCAGTGACTTGCAGACTGGATGGGCTCTTCACAAGCCCCGAAACGAACCTGTGCGTTTTCCTACCGAGGTTAAACAGTACCTAACAACGAAATTTGATCTTGGAGAAAGAACTGGCACCAAGTCAGATCCCGCAAAAGTAGCAGCAGATATGCGAACTGCAAGAAACCCAGACAGTTCTCGGATGTTTGAGAGGAAACATTGGCTCACAAATTAAAGGGTCAAGTACAGGGATTTTTTTCGAGGCTAGCGGCCTCGCGAAGAAGCAAAGCACATCGGGAAGCGCTCAATGAAGACGTAGAGGCCGAACAGGAAGAGCAGGAAAGACGAGCCACCCTGGAAGAGGTAGCCACCCACCTTGGTCCTAAGCATCCGATCTGCTATGATTCATACTGTTTATGTGACCTTTCACACGAGAAGAAACTTGAAACATTTAGCGTTGCTATGCTCAAGGACATGTTGAAATACTTTGAAATTCCTTTTAGTTCTCGCGATAGAAGAAAAATTCTTGTAGCGAACCTATCCGAATTTCTTGAAGGCTGTGACTGTAACCAGCCACGTTAAGGCACAAACCGCTATTATAGTAACCAACAGAGTTTTTCAACCTCGAGTTCAAAAAGATCGTGGAGGCAGTTATTTTTCAAACACTTGAAAAGACGTTTTAAGACCTTTACACTTTTTGAAATTCCTTTTAGTTCTCGCGATAGAAAAAATTCTTGTAGCGAACCTATCCGAATTTTTTGAAGGCTGTGACTGTAACCAGCCGCATTAAGGCACAAACCGCTATTATAGTAACCAACAGGGTTTTTCGACCTCGAGTTCAAAAAGATCGTGGAGGCAGTTATTTTTCGAAAACTTGACAAGACGTTTTAAGACCTTTATACTTTTTGAAAAGTCGAATTAGAAAAGAACATGTTTTTTGCCAACCGTACTAAAAAGGTACATACGCGTGACAAGCTAAAAGACTGACATTCACGCGTAGCCAGCATGACGGAAAATTAACAGTGCTGTTCAGATGATTTGAATTTCGGCTGTAATGTACCGGGTGTTTTTAATAAAATGTGTAATTCTTTTAAACAGGACTCACTTTCGTCAAATAATTATATGCTTAACCTGAATGAAAAGCTTTTTCCTTTTTTTGTTGATCAGGAAAACCTACGACCAATTTAATTGAATGAAATTTTGTAAACGGCTTTTAGAAGTAAACTTAGACGACTGACAACTTACGCCGGAATCGATAATTTCGACTATTAAACTTCGCAATTCCTAGTTTCGTGTAGCATTTGGTAAGTTGTTAGCTGTTCACAGTTTATCTCGAACAATAAAGGCCACTTTTAAATATATTTGCTCTCTCGGTTTGATTTTCAGTGGGAAAGTTCGGAATCACCAAAATGCGTAAATTACGTCATACGCACAATTACAGTAAAATATTACCCAACTTTATCGAACTCTTGTGCTTCGGAATCAACAGTGCCCAAAAATGTTTTTCTTGATTTCGATACACTAGCCCTATTACTGAACAGGGAGGGTGACCGAGACTCCAGATAACGTCAGACTTTTGAAAAAAGCTTATTTTAAAACTAGGATAACCGCGCATTTTTTTCAAGGACGCTTTACGTGGTATTTTCAAAACATCATAACTCGTTTTTTTAAAGTCAGAATTTAAATATTTTGCCTTTTTTGAATAAAGGAAGCATGAATTAAAATCACAATTTTGTTTTATAATATTTGGATAAATGCGAAATTTTTGCGAGCCTTGAACAAAACGCTTAAATTTGATCTTCAAAAAGACGATCATGACAGCTTTGGGCCGTCCAGGCAAATCGCCGCCCAAATTTTTTTGAAAAAGCACTATGAGCCAAACAAATTCGATTTTTGTTAATGGAATGGGCTAATTATGTTGCAGAAAAAAAATGAAGGAATTCTGTTTTCCGCGGAAATTCGAGTGGTCGGTTCTTACACGGACCGCCTCTTAATCACTAGACTTTCCCGCTCTGACATGTGGATAATGTAATGTTAAATTTGGTGATTTATGTTACCCTGCGACCCTAAACCGCACCCGCGACCTTTACCCGCATCCGTGACATATAGATATACTCCCCTCAATGCAGTCTGGAGGGCTGGGCGTTGCAATTCGTCTGGCCTTTCACCCAAAACTTGCATGCCTTACAAGGTTGAACCCACCTGGGACCAGGGTCCCATTAACTGATATTAGCTTCCAATATCACCATTGAACGCATTCCTCAAACACTCATCACTTTAATTCAATTTCGGTCGTTCATTTTTGCTTGAAGTTTATGACACTAGCGATAATATAATGTTTATTAACGGAATTTTACAATATCATGATTATGGGATCCCCGCTAGGAATCGTTACCTCACATTTAAACAATCGTTCTTTGGACTTGTCTCGGTGAACCTACAAAAAACTGACTATGATACAAAGCAACTACTTTAAGAAGTTTCTTATTCCCACAAGTTAAATACAGGAGACTCACTAATACAGTTCATGAGTCATTGAAACTCAACTGACAGACCTAACGATAGGGAATTTCTCTAAAAGAGGTAAACAGCATATCTGTACACACTTCTCCACTTACTGCAAAAAATAACAAGGACTTTAAATGTTCTCAATGGCCTTTTGGCTTCTTTTCTAACATGCAGTCTCTTTACTCCTCGTAAAAGTTTTGCTGTGAAGAATCAACGTAAATTAAGCCTGTCAGTTAATGTAGTTAATTATATCAAATAGATCTCAATTCTTTAACGAACAAGTAAGGCCGCTTTTAAGGATGACTCGCCCACTGTTCTTTGTCAAGGCTAACAATCTTTCCGCTTCTTAAGGTTGAGTTCTAATGTTTCAGTTCTCAGTGCTAGTCTCACAACTGAGCCGCTTCAACAGTCTGCTGGTACTGGACCAAATTAATTCACAGATCTCTTAAGACCTTGGCGATAATTGCTGCTTGAAATAAACAAAATAGTCGGATTTATGGCACAGTTTGCGAAAGCCAGAAAGTAGGTAAAAATAGAAAACGCTCGAAAACTACAAGAGGATCGAATAGAACTTGTCGGTTCCAAAAACTGAATTATCAGCAAGATGGTGTAAGGGGGTAACCAGCAAAGAAAAAACGCTAACACGATAGCAATGGCCATTTTCAGCACGTTTCGATTTCTCTTTGTTCGCTGTTCTTCAGCATTGACCGACTGTTCCCCTGGATGTACATGTTTCTTAAGTTTGATCAGGATGATGGAATAAACTGCAACTAACAGGATCATTGGGATGTAAAAGAACACGCTAACACCTGCCAGTAAGTAAGTGACAAAGCTTATTTCTCCGAAGGTTTTCGCCCACTGATTCTGGCACTTCATTTCTCCTGGATTTTCAACGAGTTTGTAAGAAAACAGATTTGGCGAGGCCACGGCTATCGCCACAATCCACGTTGCCAGAATAAAGAAAGGACACAGCTTGCGACTGATGAGAGGCGAACGTAGTGGAACTACGACAGCTCCAAATCGATCAACTGATATCAGAACCAAACTCTGAACTGACACCAAGGAGGATGCCTCAGCAAGAAAAGCGGGTAGCTTGCACAAGATCTGACCAAGAAGACCAACGATAAGCCACGAGTCAACGTGTAAATCTAATAACCGCTTAGAGATCGAGAATATTGGAAACAACAAGTCAGACAGGGCCATGTTGCGATCAAAAAATTTATCGGCTTTCTTAAGTTTGGTGTTTTGTAAACAATGACTCCGACGAGAGAGTTTCCAACCAGCGAAACAACGAAGATCAAACTGAAGGCAATGGTTTTTCCAAGTTTTGCTGCAGCCGAATTTAGACTGGAGCAGCTCCAGGAGCTTA